GCTTTTTTTTTTTTTTGAGATGGACTCACCCTCCATAAGAATGCTATGGTTTCATAGCTCACAGCAATCTCAAACTCTTGAGCTCAAGTAATTCCCTTGTCTCAGCCTCCCGAGCAGCTAGGACTACAGGCACCAGCCACAATGCCTGGTTATTTTTACAGATGGGTTCTCACTCTTGCTTAGGCTGGTCTCAAACTCCTGAGCTTAAGCAATCCATCTGCCTTGGCCTCCTAGAGTGCTAGGATTATAGGTGTGAGCCATTGTACTGGGTGAATTTAGTCTTTATCTGAACTGCCCCAGGTCTCCTTGACTTTGGGCTTCAAGACCAGTTCAATTTACTAGCTACTCATTGTGTACCTGCTAAAATAGGACCTGAGGACACAACAAAATTGGGCACAGTTCTGCCTTCAGGGAACCTATAACATTACATGTAGCCTCAGCATCTGTAGTTCAGTGGCTAGGATGCCAGCCACATACACTGGAGCTGGTGGCTTTGTATCCATCCCAGGCCTGCCAAAGTACAATGACAAACAACTACAACCAAAAAATAGCTGGACGTTGTGGCAGGTGCCTGTAGTCGCAGCTACTTGGGAGGCTGAGGCAAGAGAATCACTTAAGGCCAAGAGTTTGAGGTTGCTGTGAGCTGTGACACCATGGCACTGTACCCAGGGTGACAGCTTGAGACTCTGTCTCAAAAAAAAAAAAGATTACATACAGAGTGGTGTATCCAGATACAAAAGTAGGGCAGGGATGTTAGTTAACACTCGGGGGTGTTAATCCCTCTCATGCCTGGAGCACAGTGCTGCCCAGGTGATGTTCCATGCAGGAAGGAGTATCAGGACCAACTAGACAGATGGCTCTGCTGTAGACAGAGAGAAGGGGAAGGGAGATATCACCAGAATAGTGATATCCTGAACCTGGGAAAAGATGGACGGAAGTGATGTGGGCCATTAAAGATCTAGCATCTGTAGGACGTGGTGACTAACTGTGTGGGCAGCACCCAGTCAGAACAACTGACACTTACGGAGCGCGTGGCATGTGCCAGGTGGCATTTAAAAGGCTTCCCATGAAGGCTGGGGGCAGTGGCTAATGCCTGGAATCCTAACACTCTGGGAGGCCGAGGCAGGTAGATTGTCTGAGCTCACGGGTTCTAAACCAGCATAAGCCAGAGCGAAACCCCATCTCTAAAAATAGCCAGGCATTGTGGCAAGTGCCTGTAGTCCTGACTACTTGGGAGGCTGAGCCAAGAGGATCACTTGAGCCTAGGAGTTTGAAGTTGCTATGAGCTATGATACCATAGCACTTTGCTGAGGGTGACAAAGTGAGACTCTGTCTCAGAAAAAAAAAAAAAGGCTTCTCATGAACTAAGGCCTTTAATCTTCACCACAACGCTAAGTTTCCATCATTGTCTCCCTTTTCCAGAGGTAGAAAGTGAGTCACAGAGTGGCCTGGTGACACAGTTGGTGATAGACAGAGCAAGGCCTGTCCCTAGACAGGTGGCTCTGGAGTCCAAGCCGCTTACAGCTACATGGCTGGATTCTGAAGACAGACTTGGTTCTGAAGACCAGCTTTAGGCCCCGAAAAAGCAGTTTACTCCCTCTAGCCTGAAATGGGGATAATAATAGGATCTACCTTATAGTTGAAGAGTTATAATGAGATCAGCTAAAGCATTTAGCACAGAATCTGGCATGTAGTAAGCCCTGAGTAAATGAGAACTGTGAGAACTGCTATCATTGCCAGCATTACTGTTACAGTGATGATAAGAAGGAGAGGACGGAGAGTGAGCCCCTGGTTTCCAGGTTTTCAGCCTGGCTGCTGGTTCTTAGAAGTGCCATTAATGGAAAGGCCTAATCTGGCACAGGCTGCATCTGAGGATACGGAACACTCAGCTAGCAGTGTCCAGGAGTCAGTGGCCCCGTGGGACAGAGCTGAGGAGGGAGGAAGGCCTAAAGTATATATCTGGGAGCCAAGTGTTTAGGGCTATGGGCCATCAGGGCTCAGGCTCTTATGGCCTCACCCTCCTCCATCCCCCAATCTCTCCAGTACTTCTCAGAGCCCTCCATCTTCCTGTTTGGACTCCAGTGCTTTGAGGGGAAGGAGATCGAGCTCAGCGGGGAGGTGCGGAGCCTGCAAGCGGAGGGCTTCAACAACCACGTGCTGTCTGTGCAGATCAAGGGAGGCGTGTGAGTGTGCAGCAGAGAGGCTGGGGCTGTGGGGCAGCTGGCGGGTTGAATAGAGTGAGTGGGACTGAAATCTCTGGGCCTCTGGCCTCTCACCCCCCACCCTGCCCCCTCCTCTCAGAGCCAGGAAGGAGGGCAATGCAGACTGAGAAGGCCGCTCAGGACTTACTTTGCTCTTCAGTCCCCTAACTCACCTCCCAGCCTCCTTCTCCTGCCTCAGGATCCTGACCCCAGTAACAGAAGAGGAGGTGGAGAATGTTCTGACATCCCTTCCTTCTCTGTCTGTCTGTCTGTCTGTCTGTGTCTGTGTTCCTCTCTGTGTCTCTGGTACCTGCTGGGCCCAGATGGGTGCTGTGTGAGCACAGTGACTTCCGGGGCCGCCAGTGGCTGGTAGGCAGCTGTGAGATCACAAACTGGCTGACCTACAGCGGCACACAGAGAATCGGCTCCCTCTACCCCATCAAGCAGGTGGGTAGCCTGTCTGGGCTCAAGCATGTCTAGGGTCCAGTGTGTTGGGGTGGGCATGTCTAGCTGTGTGTCTGTGTGTTTCCCAAACACATCATTTGTGTATATTTGTCACAATTTTTGCCACATGATCATTCCTCTTGAACCTTTATTTACCTAATATTTTTGTTTAATCAACTCACTTTTTTTTGGAGACAGAGTCTCACTCTGTCACCCTGGGTAGAGTGCAACCTCAAACTCTTGGGCTTGAACAATATCCTCTTACCTCAGCCTCTGAAGTAGTTGGGATTACAGGCATGCACTATCACGCCCAGCTAGTTTTCTGTTTTTAGTAGAGATGGGGTCTTGCACTTGCTCAGGCAATCCACCCGCCTCAGCCTCCCAGAGTGCTAGGATTACAGGCGTGAGCCACCGTGCCCAGCTATTTTTATTCTTTTTGAGACAGAGTCTGACTCTGTCGCTCTGGGGTTGAGTGCTGTGGCATCATCATAGCTCATAGCAACCTCAAACTCTTGGGCTCGAATGATCCTCATGCCTCAGCTTCTCTAGTAGCTGGAACTACAGGTGCCTGACACAATGCCCAGCTAATTTTTCTATTTTTAGTAGAGACAGGGCTCTTATTCAGGCTGGTCTCAAACTCCTGAACTAAAGTGATCCTCTTGCCTCTGCCTTCTAGAGTACTAGGATTAAAGACATGAGCCACTGTGCCTGGCCATTATTAAATTTTCATAAAATAAGTTTATCCTTCTAGGACTAAAAATGATATCATGTACCACCCACTGGTAGTAAGCACACCTCACTTGGAGAAACGCTGTGTCTGCACATGCATTTCTGTGTATCTGTGGCTGCAGGTATGGGCTTGGTTCTCTTTTATGCACATAGTATGGGCTCTGTGTGTATCTTTGCAGGTATGTGCCCATCTAAGGGTGTTTTCTTTTTATTTTCTTGAGACAGAGTGTCACTCAGTTTCCCTGGGGTTGAGTTCTGTGGCATCATAGCTCACAGCAACCTTGAACTCCTGGGCTCAAGCAATTCTCTTGCCTCAGCCTCCCAAGTAGCTGGGACTACAGGCACCTGCCACATTGCCTGGCTATTTTTTTTTAGAGATGGGATCTCACTCTTGCTTCGGCTGGTCTCAAACTTCTCAGCTCAGGCAATCTACTCACCTCAGCCTCCCAGAGTGCTAGGATTACAGGTGTGAGCCACTGTGCCTGGCCTATCTGGATATCTCTGTGCCCAGGATATTACAGTAGAACCTCTGTAAGTTGACCACCCAAGTGACTGTAACAAATTGGTCAACATAAGGAACAAGGCCTAATATACTGATATGTACGGGTGGTGTGTGTCTGGTGTATAAAAATTAGATCAACTTAAGGCGGTGGTCAATGTAGGGTGGTAGTCAACTATGGAGGTTCTACTGTAATTTGTGTCCATGTGTCTGTATGCTCTGGTGATACCCTGTGTGTATGTGTCTGTCTGTCTATCTGTAAGAGTGTATTTACGGCTATGCGTGCTTGCACCTGTGACGCTAGTGAGAGTGTTTGTGTCTTTGTATGAGGACATTTGTGTTGTCCCTATATCCACACTCTTATAACATCATTGTTAAAAGAAATCTTGGAGATTGTCTCCACTCCTCACATTTTACAGATGGGGAAATAAAGGCCCAGAGAAGTGGACAAGGATTTACTCTACAGTCTTGGGCAAGTACTATACTTCCCTGGACCTCCATTTCTTCATCTTTAAAATGGGGATAATATGCATCATGGGTTTGTTGTGACAACTGAAGATAAATTATATATGTATAGCCCATAGAACAGTCCTTATGTGGGTAAGAGCTCAACGAACATTAGCTGTGATTATTATTACTAGTGTTACTGCTGCCACTATCTAAGACCCCCAGCTGACTCTGACCAAGGGCCAAGTCTGGTGTCTAACAGCCCAGTGTCCACCCAGTTGGGGCCCTCTTTAGCACAAGTGTGTGCATGTCTGTATTCCCACACACATCTATCCTTGCAGCAAACAGAAGTGCCTGGCACAGAGGTTAGGATGTGTGTGTTTATGTGCCTGCATGTATCCAGTGTTTGTTCTTTCGGTGAACTTCTGTGCCACCATGTGGCCCACGGGTGTATCTGTCAGTTTGTCCCTCTGCACACATCTGTGGGTATCTGTGTATCTGTGTGTGTGTGTAATGCATATGCTTTCCTCATATGTATGTAAAGAAGGGGTGACTTAGACACAGGGTCAAGGAAAGTCTGGAGACAGGATGGAGGGCTTGGGACCTTGATACTACAGAGTCCAGAGTCTAAGGTATTAGAGGCCCAGGTTGGGGCATACTCCCTGGGGCCCCTGATTCAGCCTCTCCCCACCACCAGCGCCGGGTTTATTTCCGCCTCTGGAATGCAGCACTGGGGGGATTCCTGGCAGTTCCAGACCACGTGGAAGACATGAAGGCAGGCCGTGTAGTGGTCTCCAATCCCCGAGCTGGAGGCAGCTGCATTTGGTACTATGAAGATGGGCTGCTGAAGAACCAGGTACTGATTGAGTGGCTAGGACAGAGACACCCAAACCCACCTTGGGCAGTCCTAGCCCAGTCAGGAACAGGACCCCGGGGAGGTGGAGAATACAGGCTGTGTGCCCCTGGGCAAGTCATACTCAGTGTGTAAAACAAGAGCATTGAACCAGATGCTTCTAAGGGAGCCCCCAGCTCTGATGTCCTGTGACAGAACTTGAATCCTGTTATTAATGACGGTTTCACTCTACAGACATTTCCTGAACTCCTACTATGCGCCAGACACTGTTATAGGTGCTGGGGATACAGCAGTGAGAAATGACTCCTGCCTTCCTGAAGTTTACATCCTAGTGGAGAGAGACAGAAACAACTTATATGAGTAAAATATCTTAGTATCTTAGATGAGGAAAGTGCAATAGAGGAAAAAGAAATCAAGAAAGGAGAATAGAAAACATCAAATAGCTCTAATAAGGGGAGCCCTTGCAGAGAAGGTGACATTTGAGGCAGGCAGCTGTGCAGATGTCTGAGGGAAGAGCATTCTAGGCAGAGGGAACAGCAAGTGCAAAGCCTTGAGGTGGGAATGTGTCTGACATTTTCTAGGACCAGCAAGGCTACCGCAGTGGCTAGAGGGAAGTGTCTGAAGGGGAAGTAGCAGGAGATGAGGTCAGAAAGGCTATGGGTAGTGGAGGTCTTTGTAGACCATTGAGAAGTTTTGTCTTTTCCTTGGAATGAGAGGTGCGGGGTACCCTTCACACAAACACCTCTGATAATCCTTAGGGTGGAGCACTATAGGATAGGTCCTATTATACTTTCCATTTTATAGGTGAGAAAACCCAAGCACAGAGAGGTTAAATATTTTACTGAAAGTTACACAGCCAGTAAATGTGTGGAGGTTTGTCTGACACTAAAGCCTATGCTTAGGAAGTCAATCATGGAAGGCTTCCTGGAGGTGTTAATATTTTTCCAGCTCTTTTATGGTTTCTCACATTGAACCCTTCCCAAACCCTGCATTTAGAAATTACCATCCCCAAGAAAACTGAGGCCCAGAAAGGTTAAGAGATTTGCTCAGGGTTACAGTCGATAAGAGCCAGGATTCAAAGCCAGATGTGTCAGGGGTGTCTTGGGTATGGTGAGTGCCTGTGGGGAAGAACAGCGCCTGATGACCTTCTGGGCCTCAGGTGGCCCCTACCATGAGCCTGCAGGTGATTGGACCTCCCAGCCCAGGTTCCAAGGTTGTGCTGTGGGCTGAGAGCCGCCTGCCACGCCAGACATGGAGCATCAATGAATCAGGCCACATCTGCAGCCAGATGTTCGAAGGCCAGATCCTGGATGTGAAAGGTAATGTGGGGTGTGCATAGCAGAGGGCCCTTGGGGTGGAGGCTGAGGGCTGTGGATTCCCCAGCTTCCTTTGACAGTCTTCCCATCTCTTAATCCCATTCCTCTAGGTGGCCGGGGCTATGACCGGGATCATGTGGTGCTATGGGAGCTGGCCAAGGAGAGGGTGTCCCAAAACTGGACCATGCACGTGCTTTGAATACTACCCCAGCCCTGGAGATGTTTTCCAGGATGAATGTTTTTATAGGGTTTTTGTTGTAACATAAGATATTTTCTAATATGTTGCCAGTTGTCCTTATCTTTGTGCACATTGATATTTGGGGGTAGGGTGGAAATTTGTCTACCTGCCTTCTTTCCCCTACCCTTCCCCCTGCTTTTTCCCTTGGGCAACAGCTTTGGAGCACAGATGTAAGGCCTCCCTCTGCCAGCAGAGGGAGCCCTGGGACCAGATTACTGCCCTGGGAGCGAGTCCTGGGCAGTCGTCACCCAGAAAGGGTG